TACGTTAGTCGCTTGGATGAATTGCTGGATTTGAACGCCTTGCATAATTGGCCCATCAAGAAACAACTGACAGCTGAGGATGTCAACAGCGGACGACTCATCTTGTCTGTTCGTGATGTCGAGAACTACATCATGCCAAGACTGCCGGTTGATAAGAGAGAAAGACTAAGCAAGCACTGTGGAAGGACTGCCATTGATGTGTATGATGTTGAGAAGGAGCAAAGGTATAACATGGAGCTTGTAAGAAAGAAAAACGGGCGATACAGACTGGAGGACTGGGATCAGGTTACTTTGCCTAGAGATATTCAAGCCGGTAAGGGGATCGGAATGTCTTGGGTGAACGGGATGTTGTACTTCAGAGTACTTTCCGATCAATAAGGGAAGCTAATTAACTCCTGATGAAACAACGTCGATCCTACGTGAATTTTTTTATTTGTTGTTTTCAATTTCCAACAGTATGATTTCCTGTAGAAAGCAAAGCAGCTTTCTGATGATCAGCAATAACAACATCATATAATTTCTTTGATTATACTTCTAGATGTAAGAAATATAAAACTAGAAGAAGCCTGTTTAAATATTTAATTGCATCAGAAGGCAGCCATTGTTAATTCCCTTTGGTCAATCTCCAATATGCTTTAAACATCTTCATGCTGTTATTCTCCTTTCATGTCTGAAGCAGAGTCGTGTTTCTTCAGTCTTATGATAGATTTTTACAAAGACAAATTGGTTTGTCCTTTTCTCTTACCCTTGAATGATGCGTAAGTTTTGGAAGTCTGATTAATCATTTTTTTATAGAAATGATGATTATTTTATTATAATTTTTTTTTAAGTGAAGCATGAAAAAAATTCAAGAGTTTTAATTATACGTCCATAAAATAAAATTAAGATAAAAATAATATGAACTCAATGATAAGTTTCTTCAAACCCATGAAAACTTAGTGTAAAAGGACTTTTAGAGAGTTTTATTTAGTTTTTTAGTTATTTTTATTCCTATTTAGTTTTAAAAAATATATTTTTTATGGTGTTTTTCTTCTTCTTGATTAGTTTAAGGATCTTATTTTTCTTAGTTATTTTTTTCTTATTCAATTTAGGAATTATTCAGTTTAGAAATTTTATTTTTTCTTATTAAATTTAGGCTTAGGTTAATGTCAATATGGTTGTTATTGTTGTTTAATTTGTATTTCAAAAGACTACCAAAAGAGAAAATATTATGATTTTTGTTTGATTATCTTATTTAATATAATCTTGTATTGCAAAATTTTATTATCTTTCTTATATTGTTTCTGTCCGCATCAGTTAGTATTAGAGTATGAATAAGATAGATAATTTCTTTATCATGATGAAAATGAAGTTGAAACTGAAAAATTTCTTATGATTACAATCTTTTATTGGAATGAAATCAACTACCAAAATTTGATGGAGATAAAGAAAATGATGCTAAAAAAAATATTTTAATGAAAAACTCTTTATATATAATAATATTGTATGCAAAAATGTTTATACTATTTCAGTTAAGATGAACTCTGATCTTCGTAATAAAACCATACTTGAGAAGGAAATCAAATTAGATATAATTATAAAGTTTGTTTTTAATAAAGCATGTTATGGAGGATATGCCTCATGTATATTTAAAAAGAATTATCTTTTGTACTTAAGGTTGTGGTCTAGTGGTTATGGGAGAAACTTTTCTTTCTTTAGTATTAGGGTTCATCTCTTTATGTGTATAGTTGTTATCTTTGTAATATCTTATCTATCTACTAGGTTTATAGGGTATTCAATGGATCTAAAAATTAGTCATGATGCATGTAAATTAGCCAAGACATTTCAAATTATATAAAAAAAAGAATCATTTTTTTAAATAATTTAAAAGACATTTATTATATGAGTTTGTATATTTAATGAAATTTTAACATATTTTCTTAATCGACAATTCAATTCTTTAGATTTTACTATCTATATATGGTACATATAAAACTTAATTTTCAATTTGTTTATTTATACCATGTATAAAATACTTAAAATGTAATGTAATACAAGTATAAGAATACAATTAAACTTTCATTATCATATAAAAGAAAAAAGAGAATGTGGTGGTAGTAGTATAAATATATACTTCGCATGCCCCTGCCATGCTGCAATGAATCAAAAAAAATTGAACATAAAAAGTTATTACGGTGAAATTTAAAACCAAAATATTAAGGGTTAAAATTAAAATTAAATAATAAAAAATAAAATTAGAAAAAAATTCAATGAATAAAAAAATGTATTAATAAGATAGATAATTTCTTTATTATGATGAAAATGAAGTTGAAACTGAAAATTTCTTATGATTACAATCTTTTATTGGATTGAAATCAACTACCAAAATTTGATGAAGATAAAGAAAATGATGCTAAAAAAAAAGATTTTAATGAAAAAATCTTTATATATAATAATATTGTATGCAAAAATGTTTATACTATCCCAGTTAAGATGAACTCTGATCTTCATAATAAAACCATGCTTGAGAAGGAAATCAAATTAAATATAGTTATAAAGTTTATTTTTAATAAAGCATGTTGTGGAGGATATGTCTCATGTATACTTAAAAAGAATCATCTTTTGTACTTAAGGTTGTGATCTAGTGGTTATGAGAGAAACTTTTCTTCCTTTAGCACTAGGGTTCATCTCTTTATGTGTAGAGTTGTTATCCTTGTAATATCTTATCTATCTACTAGGTTTATAGAGTAATCAATGGATCTAGAAATTAGTCATGATGCATGTAAATTAGCCAAAACATTTCAAATTATTAAAAAAAAAAATATTTTTTTAAATGATTTGAAAGACATTTATTATATGAGTTTGTATATTTAATGAAATTTTAACATATTTTCTTAATCGACAATTCAATTCTTTAGACTTTACTATCTATATATGGTACATATAAAACTTAATTTTTAATTTGTTTATTTATACCATGTATAAAATACTTAAAATGTAATGCAATACAAGTATCAAGAATACAATCAAACTTTCATTATCATATAAAAGAAAAAAGAGAATGTGGTGGTAATTTACTCTCTAGTAGTATAAATATATACTTCGCATGCCCCTGCCATGCTGCAATGGATCAAAAAAATTTGAACATAAAAAGTTATTATGGTGAAATTTAAAACCAAAATATTAAGGGTTAAAATTAAAATTAAAAATTAAATAATAAAAAATAAAATTAGAAAAATTCAATGAATAAAAAAAAAAGTAAAAAAAATACTAGCAAACATGAGTGATGAAATTAAAAAAAAAAATTAAAGATTATGCATTGATTCAATGATGAAATCAAAACAAATTAAAATTTGATAAAGATGTCAAGAATAAAAATTTAAAACCAAAATATTGAGGATTAAAACCTAAAATATTATCAAATATTGAATTGAATGGCCAAATTAAAAATTTCTAAATCCACAAATTCATAAAATAATCCAAAATAAAAATAAAAATTAAGTGAGTGAGGATCAAATTAAAAAAAATAAAAATTTAAATTCAAATTTAAAATACTCCATTTGATACTTAAAATACTTGACATAACAGGTTAACTTACAACCTAAGAGATCTTTAGCTTACGCTGACCTAGCTTTCAAAAATAATTGGAATAAGACATGAAAAACATTTAATGTTTATATTTAATTTAAAAGCAATAATCTTTGTAAAAAAACTAATTAAATTAACAAAGTCCAAAAAAAAGCTCTAACTTGTGTTTTTGTTAAAAGTGAATGAAAAATCTCATAAGAATTGAGAAAAAAAGTAAAAAAATGTTTAGAGTACAAAACTCAAAATATAAATAAAAAAAAAGTAAGAAAAAGTTTAAATTACGAAACTAAAAACATTAACAAAAAAACCAAGTAAATATAGGTAAAACTTCTAATCTCAAGTTAAGAACAAGTTTTTAATTGTTAAATTTCAAATTTAGGTTCAAATAACAATTTTAATACGAAACAAATTTAATATTAAAAGGTAAGATAAATTAATTTAATAAAATAAATACTCATTACAAAAGTAAGATCAAGAGCACTAAAAATATAAAGTATATTAATTTAATCTAATTTTAAAAATTAGATTTAGCAAGAATAAAAAACCTAGAAGCAACCCGTGTTTGGACTAAAAAACCATGGGTCACCCTACTTTTTATAATAAAAAAATTATGTGGTAAAGACAAAAACATCCTCTCTTGCCAAGCTTAGATTTTTTAAAGTTAAAGATTAAACATATTATTTTACTGTAGAAAAAATACACAGAGATAACAAGAAAAAAAACCCTTTTATAAAGCCTAAATTTTTTAGCTTTGATAATATTAAAATATTATCATTCTTTAATTTTAACTACATAAATAAAATTAAAAATACATAAAAGCTTTTGAATAAAAAATTTATTTTTTTAACTTTTAACGTGACAAAGTAATTTCAATATATATAAAAAATATAAATCTACTAAATTATGATGATTAATTGAAAACTAATATTTTAATTTTTTAAATAAGACAATTATATCCCCATGTTCAAGGCAATTATTTAGTTTATTGAAAGACAAAATGATTAATATGCTATTTGAATTTATAGCGTTTCTGCTTCCATTCTAAAAAAACTAAAAGTTTTTAGTTTTTTAAATTTGAATTAAGTTTTTTTACTAAACTTAATGAAATTGATTTAGTCAATTAAATGACTGGCTTTAATTTATCCTTTGCACTAATCATTTTAAAAAAATCCAGTTTCTCTCAAAAAAATTAAATTAAAATTATTATAATTTTAAAAAATACTTGAAAATAATATTATTTTAATTTAATTGCCCAGTGTGCGAGAAGGGGCTGTGATACACGCTTTGTCTTATAACTAAGTAATTCATATAATTTTAGCAAGAGCATGCTGCTAACGTCGTTGGCTATCCAACAAGAGTTGACGTGGCAACCGCCAAGCAAAACTATACATAGCGAGAAACACCTTCCCCCCCCTCTGAATCAAAAATCGAAATAGAAAATAAAATAAAATAAAATAAAAATGCAGAGACACAAACTCCCACTCTCTCTTCTAATTTTCTCTCTCCTCCCACTCTCTCTCCTCGCCCGCCCTTACTTTCTCATCCTCTCTCAAGAAGACCTCAAAGACATCCCTTCCTCCCCAACCACTACCTCCTCCGATGTGGACCCCAATGAGTCTCCACCCGAGTGGGACGAGTTCGGCGACTCTGATTCCAAACCCGAACACGAACTGGACCCTGGCTCCTGGCGACCGATCTTCGAACCCGACGCCACCACATCCTCCACCTCTGCATCGAAACTCGATCCGGAGATGGAGCAGTACTACTCCGCCGTGGAGAAGATGTTTTCGGCTGTGAGTGACAGTGAGGTTAGGGTTGTGGAGGAAGCAGTGGCGGAAATTGAAGAATTGGCGACGGTGAAGGGGAATTCCCATGCCCAATCGGTTTTGGGGTTTTTGTATGGATTAGGGCAAATTAAAGAGAGGGATAAAGCTAAGGCTTTTTTGTATCATCACTTTGCAGCCGATGGAGGCAGTTTGCAGTCTAAATCAGCTCTTGCCTACACGTATTACCGGCAGCTGGTGAGCTGATTTAACTTGCTTGATTTGATAATGGATTATTTACTGTTTATTTTTTTTTTATAATGATTTGTATTGTTGTTTGGTTTTCAGATGTATGAAAAGGCGGTTAAATTATATGCGGAATTAGCAGAAGTAGCAGTAAATAGTTTTTTGATTTCGAAGGATTCTCCTGTGATTGAACCGGTTAGGATACATAATGGGGCCGAGGAGAATAAAGAGGCTTTGAGGAAATCACGAGGGGAGGATGACGACGTGTTCCAGATTTTGGAATATCAAGCTCAAAAAGGGAATGCGGGAGCAATGTTTAAAATTGGGTATTTTCACTACTTTGGATTGAGAGGATTGAGGCGTGATCATGCGAAAGCTTTGGCATGGTTTTCAAAGGCTGTAGAGAAAGGGGAACCCAGGTCAATGGAGCTTCTTGGTGAAATATATGCCCGGGGAGCTGGAGTTGAGAGGAACTATACTAAAGCGCTTGAATGGCTTACACTTGCTGCAAAGCAGCAGCTTTATTCGGCTTATAATGGCATGGGGTATTTGTATGTCAAGGGTTATGGAGTGCAAAAGAAGAACTACAGTAAAGTAAGTTCATCATATTGCTGAATGTAGCTTTCTTTGTTAATATTTTGTAAATAGAAGACTGGATTGCATGCTTGCCTGATTTGGTCTACTCGTGTCATGCATGGTTTCCTCTTTGACATGGTCATTCCCTTAGTCAATTGAATTTGTTTGATAGGCCAAGCTTGCAGTTTCGGATCCAGCTAATTAAGTTGCGAATTTACTCATCCCCTCTTACATTGAAATCTTTTTATTTAAATACTCAAATCTGTTTTATATAGCTTGGCTTGGATTACTTTGATATCTAAATAATTGTGTTAAGATTTAGTTGACTAGATATATTTTGGCACCAATTACATCAAGAATTTGTTGAGGTTAGGGGCCTGATGTGGTTTTCTTTAGCTGTTTTATATTCATGCATGGGAGCTTTTGTACCTTAAGTGGCCATTTTTCCATGAAATGATTAAAGTCTTGACCTTGCAACCACAAGGGTGCAAGTTTGAGTTTTGAGAGGAGTCATTGTAAAAAAAAATGCTGAAGGATCTGTCCCCAAATTCTCTTTTGGGGTGATGATTGAGTAGCCTCTGAACATTCTGTATCAATGCAGTGTCTGTGTACTGTATGCTCATCTCAAATCGCTAATGTATCTTCTTTGTATTTGCCTGCATGTGGTAAATGTTCTTTTATTGGATAGTTTCAGAATATGCATCAGGCCCATTCTTTTTTTCTTTTCCTTTTTGTTACAGGCAAAAGAATACTTTGAGAGGGCTGCTGACCATAAAGATGCTGGTGGGCACTATAACCTTGGAGTAATGCATCTTAAAGGGATTGGAGTAAAGAGAGATGTAAGGCTAGCATGCCAGTATTTTATAGTAGCTGCTAATGCTGGTCAACCAAAGGCATTTTACCAGCTGGCAAAGATGTTTCATATGGGGGTGGGGCTTAAAAAGAATCTTCCTATGGTAAATTCAGTTTCTTTACCTTTCAATTTTCTTCCTACCCAAGCTCCTTACTACAATGTGTATGAACTTTTTGTGTGCTTTCTCTTTTTCCTTTTGCGTCCATAACTCCATATCTTATTAATAATTTTTTTTGTTGGTGTTAGACTTCTACTGTCAATTAGTGAAGGATCAACCAGATTGCTTTAGTGTCTGTTCAGTTATTTTCTCACTGCTTTCCGAATCCTTGCTTCTGATGGACATTCTCTTTGTCGATAATTGCTAGGTTCATTAAAGCACTTATATTAGGAAAATTTAGCGAGATAATACCAAGTTCAAAACAACATCTCCATGCAAGCTATTGCGAGTCTAGTTGCTAGGTCAGGTTATTGATCATATTCCTTGCAGACCCGCCATAAATCTGTATTGGAGCCACATTCTGAAGACATTGAATACCTAAGAAGTTCAATTGAAGTATATAATGTATATTGCCAAGGTAGTTTTTTTGGGACCTATGGGATCTAGTATTTTGGAGAACTGTCAAAAGTGGATGAGTTTGTTTTAAGCTTTAATCTCTAAATCATCTCACTTGTGTAACTTGGGAAGCTCCCCAATACAAATTGAACAGTAGGTCGTAGGTTTCTGTTCTTTTGAATTCAAGAGTGAATGAGTTTTTTTAAGCTTTAATCTCTAAATCATCTCACTTGTGTAACTTGGGAAGCTCCCCAATACAATTTGAACAGTAGGTCGTTGGTTTCTGTTCATTGAATTCTTTTATGTTTCTCAGCTCCTTTTAATTTGAGATCAATTTGCATGCCATCCCACCACCTTCCTATGGATGAAGTGAGATTGTGGGATCAGATATTTTCCTTTTGACCCTGCACTTCTCTCTATTGGTGTATGTTGCAAACAGTTTTGAAATGTGCCAACACTTGTATCCATTCATTTTACAAGAAAGCTTTACTTTTTTCCAGGCTACTGCATTATACAAACTAGTAGCGGAACGGGGCCCGTGGAACTCCTTGTCTAGATGGGCATTGGAGTCATACCTAAAAGGTGATGTGGGCAAAGCATTCCTGTTGTATTCAAGGATGGCTGAGCTGGGCTATGAAATTGCACAAAGTAATGCTGCATGGATTCTTGACAAATATGCAGAGGGTAGCATGTGTATGGGGGAATCGGGGTTTTGTACAGACTCAGAAAGACACCAGCGTGCCCATTCTTTGTGGTGGCAAGCTTCAGAACAGGGCAATGAACATGCTGCTTTGCTTATTGGTGATGCATATTACTATGGCAGGGTACGTGACCTGTCTTTCACAATTTCGATGTTTTTGGTTGTTTTTTTGGTTCATTTTCTGAATAGTTTTTTCATCCTAAAACTTTCCTTAACTCTTTCCTCCTTTTCTTAGGGTACTGAGAGGGATTATGAACGAGCGGCAGAGGCTTACATGCATGCCAAATCGCAATCTAATGCACAAGCTATGTTCAATCTTGGTTACATGCATGAACATGGTGAAGGACTTCCACTTGACCTTCATCTTGCTAAGCGGTACTATGACCAAGCTCTTGAGATCGATCCTGCAGCAAAGTTACCTGTCACACTAGCCCTTGCAAGCTTGTGGATAAGAAAGAACCACGCAGACAGTTTCATGGTCAGTTTATTTATCTGCTTTTCATGCTTGTCTTCTTTAAGTATAGAAGTGAAAATTAGATGGACATCTGCTTCTATCAATTGATCAGAATTCCTATGTATACATGAGCTGGTCATTTTCCTCCACTATTGCCCTCTTAAATGTTTCCAGTGATTGTTTTGATGTTCTGAGTATTATAACCACTGGAAAATATAGTCCTAACTTGCTAAAACTTGTTGGGACATGCATCTTCACAAAAGTTAAGAAATGAATAATGAGTACCTGATATGCATTTTATTAAATCATTAAAATCATGTAGTTTACTGCTTGAAATAGCATGTTTTCGTCGCTGATCAGAAACTCCCCATCCCTTGGGTCTCTTGTGGTTTTCTGTGGCAGAAAATTAGAATGTTGACGCAAGAATCATATCATCACAAGGATGGATGTTCTTTTTTTTTTTCTTCCTCATAGCTTCTCAGATTCCTATGAAATTTGGTGAACTTTTGCCTATTTTTGGTGATCCTTCTTGCTAGAAACTGCCTTTATCTCATGTGAAGCTCACCCAACCAATGCAATCACTTTGTTCTCTTCATATGTTTTCCTGAACAATTGAGGGAGAAAAGGGTTTTTCTTTTTGAAGAACTGAACAAATCTTTAGTATGCTACCCAAAAAGAAGTACAATATGGAGAATATTGAAACTTGGTGCAAGATTGTTCCTCTGTTTCTTAAGCCAGCATGAAATCACTATGAAAATATTTCATCCAATGGATATGAGGTTTGGACATAATGCTTTCTATTGGAGGACATGGGCAGAAGATGATCCTTGTAGTCAATCATAATTAGTTTGGTTGTCAGGGTTGAGTTTTGGAATTTTGTTATAATACTTTGACTAACTGGTCTAAGGATTCTTTGTCTCTATATTAGGTACATGTAATTGATTCATTGCCTGGAGTCTATCCAAAAATCAAAGCATGGGTGGAGAATATTATCCTGGAAGAAGGAAATGCAGCAATACTTACTCTTTTTGTCTGTCTGCTTACGGTTCTCTATTTTCGTGAACGGCAAAGAAGGAATGCTGCTGTTGAGGTTGACATACATGGCCAACATATCCATCATGCACCTGCTGCACTCAATTAGTCGGCAGCTCACCATGATCTTCAGAAATGCAAGGTTTTGTTAGTGCGCATCTGTGGAAAGCTAAAGTTCATATTGCAGTTGTGTTGTCATCTGGGGAGAGGCCAAAATTCACATTGCAATGTTATGTACAGGGTTTAGATCTCTATCAAAACAGATGCCTTGTTTCAGGCAACGTTGTACCATACAGAGACGGAAGAGGCTGAAATAAGACATGCTTTGTCTCGCATGTGGAAAGACATGCTTTGTTTCAGGCAACATTGTATTCAACACAGGATTATCTGACGCCATATTTAATAGGCAGACAGGTATGTTTGTTGTGCTACGTGCAACAGTCGTTTTACTCAACAGATACATTGTTTCATACAAGGATCTGCTTGTGATGAGCAAGGATTTCGGGGTAATGTTGTGCAACCAATAGCCAAAACTGATCTTAGTGTCCTTTTTCTCCTGGCCGCAAAATGAATATCAAGCTGACTAGTTTCCCCTTTCTCTGGATAAGCTGTGGTCATTCTCTTTGTTATTTCATCAGCAAGCTTTCCCTATAGTGAGCGCATGATTTTCCTTTTATTGATTTTGAACCTCCCAATTACTTTTCATCAGTTGCTTTTCTAGCCTTGGTTTTCAGTTTCACTCGAATTACAATTGTGCAAGACGTGGGAGTCTTTCAGCTTGGAAAAAGCAGCAGATCTTCATGTTTATAAAACATCTTTAGTTATGAACCTAAATTACACGCGCCTCCTTCATCCTCTGTTTTTTTTAGGTTCATCCCCCTGTTTTTTCATCTTCAAACTGTGAAAGAGAAAATTGTCGCCGTAAATTTGGTTAAGTGTTCAAAACAAACAACAATTTTTTTAGTTTTAACCCAATAACACAAGGAGTTACTAAGACATTATAAAGAAATACAATAAACTAAAAACATTGTGTAAATACATGGTAAATCAAGTCAACGAAAGGAGTCAAGCATTACCACAGCCTTTGGCACGCATTCTGGGCTTGCGTGTGCTGAGATCGATCCTCCGCCCCTCGCATGTTTATTTTCACTTGGCATATGAAGCATTCATGATTCAATTGCAACGCCTCAGAAATAGACATCATCCCTTACAAAACTATGAATATATATAATAATAACACCACTCTATTACATGGAAATTTTATATTATAAATAGAACTTCACTGGCTCGGAGCAGCTCCTACAAACCCTAAGCAGAGTATGTGATGGTAAGGCTACCAAACTATTTACAAATACAGATTGCTCAAGACAGTTTTAAAATCCTAACTACAGGGAATCCCTCATACACATTATTCAGAATAACAGCACAATACATTAAACAATGGCAGCATATCAACCAGTAGCTGACTCTCTGTGAAACTCCTCAATCCACAAGCCTGGTACCGAAAATTCTATATTGCCTACTTCCCCAAATGTCATTTTTGTCTAGGTAATAGGATTTCAAGCAACACTGCACCCATGGTGGATTTCTGGACGCAGGATTGGCTCCCTTGCCATCATTATTTGCAGCCACTCCAAGCAATTTGTCTCGCTTCCTTGTCAACTCAGCAATTGACGGGTTACCGTCAAAAAATTTCTCCTACCAAGGATGAAGATGGCAAAATATAAAGCTTGGTCACATGAGGAGCAAAAACCACTGTAGATTATAGAACATTAAACCAGTTTTGACCACCACATTGAAGAATTTTAAATAATTCATTAGAAAGTAGTCATGTATGCTGCTCCGTCAGATGAAATGAGGAACAGATGATACAAGAGCATATATTGTTGAGGCTCTTAAAGGAATCTTCTTTTACCCATTTTTTAACAAACATATTACTTTCACATATTTCAATCAAGAAATATTTGCATTTAGCAATAAACTGTAGTTTCTACCAAAACAAATTAAGGTAAACCTAGCCTTTACAAGGAAAGATACTCAGTTCTTGACTCCAGCTCAACTTAACTTACCCACAATCACATGCAGAAAAAAGAACAAAAAAAAAAAAACTTACCCGTCCCCCCATCCTAAACCAATTAGAATCAGCTACAAGGATCATTCCTCCAGTTTTGTTAGAAGTTAAAACACTTTATAAGTTGTTATGACGTTGAATCACTCTTATCACTTCGACTCAGGTTTTTTCTATTTCAAGTCGGCTACTCCACTCTCCTCTCCCGCAGATCTTATATATTAAAAAGGTGGTGCAAAAGGTGCTTTATCCTATCAAATAAAGGGGGCTAACCAACATGTCCCTGGACAACCTGACCCGGTAATTTATCCGGATCAATGTGCACAAAAAGAAAAATTCACTACAATATAACCAATCTCATACTTTTTGTTCATTATGCAAAACAACCAAAATTTTATCTTTTTTTTTTCTAAATTGCAAAAAATTAAAACTTTTATGTTAAAGTTTTAGATTATTTATTTTCAATGAGTGCTTAATTTTATATTCATTTAATTTAAAAGATAAATTAAAACTTCTATTGTTTAGATTAACAGACAACTAAAATGGGTGGTGCATCATATATCAATTGAGAAATATAAATGATATATCAAGGTATTATACTCACATGCATGATTACATGAATAATATGCCAATATTGTCAAGATAATAGCAGGTTGAGTAGTAGTAAGAGAATGTCTGTACCCCATCTTCAGCATAGATGAAAGCATGAATTCTGGCGGTTGGATCCTCTATGGTTAGTCTAATTCTGTACGTCCCACAATGAGAGAAGTCCTCAGCACGCCATGGAAATGCAGCCACTACTCTAATTATGCACTTGAATCTAGCAGTTGCCTGCAAGGTTTGAAGTCAGGCAAGTGATGTCAAGCTGTCTGTAGCCCACATATTCCCTTTTTTGTGTTCCCTAAGCCAGCTTCTATTTTCCATCAAAATGGAATTTATCATTTACAGGAATGTTTGGCCGGCTCACTGTCATCGCCCAAAAGAACTATCTTGTGCTAGACGTATTTTCTAATGTGTTGAGATGCCAGCCTCTATCTTGTGCTAGAAGTATTTTCTAATGTGTTGAGATGCCAGCCTAATGCTTGACAAAATTGCAACAGCTGACAGCCTAAACATGAAAAACACAAACAGAGAACACTCTTGCCACTGCCTTAAAAACCAAGAGCCAGGTGCATCTCCAAAAATTTCTAGAATCACCTACTTTAGTTTGTAGGATTAATATTTCAACACAGAAATCTGAAGTGCCAACTTTTGCAGGCTAATTTTAATTCTAGTAAATCGTATCCTGAAAGGAAAAAAGAACAACAAAACCACAAAAGGCCAGGGCACCATGGTTCATTTAGTATAGAAAAGACTTCAATTAAAACTCCCCAAAACATCCTGTTTCAAGCCAGAAGGATGGAGGGGGAGAACCTCGGTAACATACCTTCCTCTTTTTCACGTGAAATTATAAAGGCTGGAAGTTTTAACATTGCACTGGACCATGGCCACTGCTATGAACAGTTTAAAAATGCAATTACTGTTGCTATTGGTGATTATTTTCTATTTTATTATGGCACTAATTCTCTTACAGGAGAGTGACCACAAAACAATCCCCTGGCTGAGGAAGAACAGTCCAACAAAAAGTGGGGAGGGATGCTATTGTTTGTGAAAGTTAACATTAATAGGCATCATCTGAAAACATGAAAATGAACTAGTTAGCATACAGACAAATATCCTACCTCTGAATAGGTGAGAACATCCATTAACGTAACAAATGGCATGTGGTCATAGTCAACCTCTGAATAGGGGGGGAAGGACACGTGTGAATAAATCATCACCATCATAGAGCTTCTAAGCATAGAGAAAATGAAGCAAACACGGAAATTATATAAGAAGTCAACAATGTCAAACCTGTAATTTGTGAACACCATGGAAAGCACCAATATGGGATGCGCCCTAATTTCAGTGACAAACGCTCATTGTATGACCTTACTTACATGGATATATAAAGGAGAAGCAATATCAATTTTGAATTCTCCATTAAAAACATGCAATGTTCAATTGCACTTATATTTGAAATATGTATTATATACACAAACATATAAATACCTCTGGCACGCTAAGACAAAATGGTCCTCATTTGACAAATATCTAAGCTTTGTGAAAGGTGTCAACACCCCACGCCACAGTCCTGCATGCACTTCACAGAGTATGCCGATGAACTTTACCCATTCACCTGTATTGAGCAGGTGGAGAACATGCTTCTGATTGACTTTGTCGATGATTACCCGTAATATCGTTCCAACAGTAGGAAATGTACATAATAAATCTCTAGACAAAGGAGGCGAGGGTTCCAACTGTAAAGGAAGTTGTTCATCCATTTTGTGCTCTGGACTGTGATTCAATTCAGAATAACTACATCAGCAATTCTTATAATGACTATCAGGGAATAATGACAAATATACAAAAAGAACATGAAAAAATAATCATATCTGGATAAGAACCATATCAGTATATTAAAATAACAGAACACAAACAGAAAAGCCCAAGTGAAAAATCAAAAAATCTCAAAGTCCAAAACCCAAACCAAATCCCAATGTCCAAAAACACCCAAAGTCCAAAGTTCAGACTCAAAATCAAGCCCAAAATGATCAAAGGGCATGAAAGAGAAAGAAAAAAAAATGTAAATAGAGTAGGAGAACAAACAGTGAACAAACCCATGTTTTTTAATTAGAATCATAATTTAACAAAACCCAGATGGAATAAAGAATCCAATGGCAATAGCTGTGCTCTAAAATAACTAATAAATAAAGTAAATATCCACAGCTCTAACATGTTGGCTCATATCAACTCACTTTGTATTAATGCTGATTGGTGGAGAATCTGTTCCATCCCAAACAAGCACCATCCACTCATTCTTGGCAATCTCACAAACATGAAGTATCTTAACAAGGTGAGAACCATTTATCAGCAGTAGGAATAATGAAAAGGATTGCAGAGAAAAATTAAGGTCCACTCTAGTTACCCATATGTATATAAGGATACAAAAAATCCTAGGCTCACCTTGCACACCAAATTAGCATGCTGTCCTTCCCTCATCTCTCTCAGGAAGGAGAAAGTATTTACTCCTATCAAAAACAAAACATTAAAAAAGCTTTTTACGATGATAACAGGCATGATTTGAAGCAAAGTATTCTGGCAAACGATGGATGGCTTCCATATGCATGAATACCTAACGAATTCAACCCCCCCCCTCCACACACACACACACACAATACATCCGTGCTTCGAAGTCAAGCATCTCGGTTATGATTCCAATTAAAAAGATGCTGGGATATGTAGAAAAACAATGCTGACATCAGAATGCAAATAAAACAGTGACCCAAGAGTATGTCATATCAAATTAAGGTTAGACTCATGCCCAGTCCACAAAATTTTGGTGAATGCTTGTGACCTTATACATCACCTTACTCATTGGAGTTAGAGGGCTGAAGTGCATATAAACATCAACCCTCAATGATTTACTCCTTGACATCATTTCTTTCATGAATCATAGAACATGCACTTTTTTACTTGTTTAGAAATCCTCAAAATCCAAAACCACATCTTTTCCAATAATCTCGTGATTACAAACAGTTAATCTTAATGAGAATCAGAACACTTAATTTTGGTTATCAACAAAACACAAGTTACCTGTTAACTGCAATTTATTGATGCAAATATATATTCCAAAAATGATTTTTTTTCCTCATCAATTAAGTGTACCTTCATCAACATGAAAGTCAACCAACCATTTTCTCATGCCTGCTATAAACTTCGAGTCATGGTCTCTTGGACGAAATAATGAACATTGATATGGTAGGAAGTCTTCACCATTTTTTCCTTCATATAACGCAAAAGAAGAAAATTTTTTATTGAAAAGAGCATAGACACCATCGTTGTGAGTTTTCATCTGCCAAAAAAAAATGCCATAGATTTCAGCATGCCAGAAGTTAAACACCATTAAGTTCATAAGAGGTCCTACAAGTATGAATAACACCAGTTTTAACCTAAAAGACAACAAATATCTAGAAAAAGAGAAAAGACAGGAATTTCATTTAAATTATCAGAAACCAAAGCCAAATGATAGGCGTTCACCCTATTACAATATGGAGTATCTATCAAAAAATAAAACAAAAGCAGCTTCAATTCCCTTAAAAAAAAATTCAACTTAATATTCTTCAACAAACCAAATCTATAATGTAACACTTCACATGAAATTCCATGCCAGATGTGCAGGTTCACTTAGCTATTAGAGTTGACAATTTAATCAACAATGTCAAACTAGACACAAACTAAATGCCAAGATCAACCCAAATTATAACCATCTTAATCCGATTGTTGAACTACTGAATATCACAATTCACCAAGAAACAAGAGATCTATAAAGAAGCAAATAAAAGTCACCCTCTCCTTCCCACATTCCCTATTCCATCGAATTTCACAAATGTTCTAGAGCACGCAACTAAGAAAAACAACTACTGGAAACAGGCGAAGAAGAGAAGAAAGCATTAGGGTGGGAAACGAGAAGGTAAAAGTTTCAGTTTTTCCATCTGCTGCGGAAAGACTTAGGCATATCCGTAATCCTAATGCAAATAAAAAATACTAACATTGGAGTATTTTTATACTACATAAGATCATGTATGTCTACCACGACACGAGAAAGCTGAATTATATCTCCAGGTGACCCAACACTAGGCAGATTTTCCATGTGTGCCATGAAAAAGTTGACCGAAATTCCAGGCTTCGGGTATGATTCATCAACTATTTTCACTGAACAAAAATAATCTGCAAGCAGTAACCAATTCGTAAACATGTATACTGGAAATAAAAAGTCCATAATATGAACAAGAAATTGTAAAAATTAAAAGGAAAAAAAAAGTGGCTCAGAACAGACACCTTAGCTTGAGAAGTTCATCAATCTCCCGCCAACCATGAAAAAAATAATTTTCTGGTAGCGGCCGTAAGTCCGGCCTTTAATTTCATCATGGCCACTCAAAATCATTTTTTTTAATTAAATGAAGAAAAAATGAATTAGGAGATTTTGTAAAGAAATAAAAAGGTAGCCGTACCGGTTCCTCTGGTGGTTTTGGGGAAACCGAGCTCGATAACGACGCCGATTAGATTGACTTTCTGGTTTATTGCAGAAATGGCGTCTTTTATTTTCAGAAACCTGTAGTCGTCTCTCTCTCCCATTTGTTCCTCTCTCTCACACACTCCCTACCGTGCCTGTTATGTGCTCTCTCTATATTTTTAGGGTTTTGTGGATGGAGGGAGACGCAATTTTTTCATGAGGATTCAATTTGAAGGATGTTTTACAATTTTATCCTCGTTAAGAGTCCGTTTGAAAAGAAGTGGAGATAGAGGAGGATACACGTCATTCATTTGTTATAAAATGATAAAAATTTATTTTATAAATAATTTATAAAATTATTTATTATTATTATTCTAACGAAGCGTGTTTTGTTTTCTCATATAACAGTTACCAATCACCTTATATTCATTGTTCTGGCATTTCGGTTTAAGTTGTTTTTAAAATAAAAAATCATCAAAAATATTTAAAAAAATTTATTTAATATTTTTAATTAATTATAAAACAAACACTAGATAATAGAATTTCAATTGTTTTCCAATCAATTGTTCAATGTTAACATATACATAAACTAAACAGTTGTGTTTTCCAGGACAAATGATATAATTGTAATTTTTTTTCAATTTTTTTATTGCAATCACACTGATCTTATTTTTTCTTATCTTCATTTTTTGTAAAAAAAATAGTTTTTTTCTTTACATTTTTTTCAAAGAAAATATTATTTTTTATTATTTACACTTGAAATATTTATTACTTTACACTTTATCTATTTATATTTTTTTAAAATTTTCATCTTTCTCATTTTGTAATTTTTTCTTTTTTTATTATATTATTTTTTTAACAATTGTTGTATAAAAGCTAAAGAAAATGATGTTTCATTGAAGCAATTACAATATTATCCACTAGATTAGAAATTAAAATAAGATTTTATAAAATTTTATTAATGTGTATTATCTTTAAATTATTTTAGTATATATAAGTATTGATATTTTTATTCACAATTATAAATTTTACTTGATATGAAAACACATATGGATAATATTTACACTTCTATTTTTTTGTGTTAGAAAAGAATTTTTTTTAACTCATAGCTAAACGAGTTGAATAAACTTTTTAAAACTATTTTTTATATTTATTGGCATAATAATTCTAGAATTCTTGAATTAAATATATGTATATGTTTTTATTTATTTATTTATGATACAAGTAGCATGATTGTTCATGATTGTTCACAAGACAACATAAAAACGTTAAATTGTAGAATTTATTTCATTTAATACAACAAAACATGATTTTTCTTTTTAAAAAAATAAAATTTTAAGAGCTATAAACAATATTAATTGAAAAGGTGTGGCTAAAAAAAAATAATCTTTTCAACATATGCAATGAAGAATCACAGTCGCGGCTATTAGTGAGTTAAGGCTGCAATATTGACAATAATTGCAATAATACTTTAAATTCGCAACTCTCATAAAAAAAAAAGATAAATAAATAAACCACAGGTGTGAGTGGTGATTTTGTTATTATGCAAATATTGTATGACACCAAACAATTAATTTGAACAACAATCTCAAGCTAACATCCCATTTTAATTGCTTGGTTGCATGCAATATATATTTTTCATTGAATTAATATTTTTTTTTGCAATAGTAGTTAATAATATAATACAATTAAAATAAATAATAAAAAAGTGTAAACACTTTTATTTTATTTATATTGATTCTTTTATTTTTAAACAAAGCGACACACTTACTTTGTTATTTACAAGAAATGAGTTTTTTTTAAATTTTGATAGATAGTAAGGATTAAGCATTTTAATTTATAACTTTTATTTTATATATTTGTAGCTAAAATATAGTAATATATCAATTGATATGTTAATAATTTACCTAAAAAGTTATGAAAAATGAATATGTATTTTAATTTTACAGAAATGAGATCCACAAATAACTTGTGTAGTTAAAGAAATTATAATAATTATAGTAAAAATCAAGCCCTTGATTATTAAATTGTACAAATTTTATAAGATATAAATTTAAAACAATAAAAATATTAAGATATAGATTACCAGAATGTACAATTTTATATTTTTTTTAAACCTGTAAAATCAATATGATTTTGTTGAATTTAAACAAATTTAACCAATTTTACTAATTTTCAAATTTTAATATGATTTGATATATTAGATATATATTAACTTAGAGTTAACTAGTTTTTTTAACAGTGAAGTTGATGCCATGAAAACAATTCATCCTCTATAAAATTCTTGATTTCAAGATAATTGGATTAAAAAATTACATCAAGTTTTAATTTATCCTGCATAATATTCACATCTAATGAATTATTCTGAGTGAATCTTTTCAGTTATTATTATTGGGAAATTATCATCATACTTGAAAAACTATTTTAAGTATAAGTAAAAAAAAAAAAATGAGTTGAATATCTCATTTCGAATTAACGATAGAAGATACAAGACATACGGAAAGCCATAAATTGTTTTTCAAATTTATACTGTGTTTGGAAACACATTTTAGAATTTCTTCACCACAAGTTTTTTTTACAAGTTTTTTTTTTAAAGGAACAATACAGTTTTTTTTCTTTTATATGTAGCTCTTTTTAGCAATGTATAAGATTAAAATATTTTTTCTTTAATATTTTCATAGTTAGTGTCATAAATTTATATCTTATTTTAAATTTATAAAAAACAAGAAAAATAGCTTTACACACACACACACATAACTGAATTCACCCATATTTTCTTCACTTTATTCTGAGCTTAACAGTAAAAATGAATGAAGGAAAAGAGTCCATGAAAAGCCAAAAGACCTTTCATTGCTGCAATATTTTCTCATCATCATCATCATCATCATCATCATCATCATTACTACCAGCTAATTACTGTATAAAGGCACCTATTAGCTTCACTAAAATAAAATAACTCGAAACTGCTACATTTCAATGTATGGATTTCAAGTTGCATTGTAAAGATTCTGAACTATTTTAGAAAAGAAATGAGGATTTAGATTTTGAGATAACAATGATGACATCTCACAATTTAGCAAATGATATTTATTCTTGAGTCAACTTGAACATCAATCTAGATTAAAAGATGATTTTATGGGCGTTTCCTCTGCCTGAGTTGCAAGATGCCACGCAGCAGCCAAGATACCCCATCCTACACCCCATTCTACGGGACCGCCATGGTTAATCTGCTTGTCTGTTCCAAGCAATCAGAATCAAACTCAACATCATGTCATCCTTTTCCCACCATCTCATTAAATTCCTTCCAAGCAAACTCCAACTTTGATACACTGAGCTACACTTGAAGATGATTCTCAAAAGGTGAAGTTATATCAGAATGTTCTATGAAGGGGAGAAAAAGAAAAAGGATCCAAGGTACCAAAATGAAAGGCATTAAATACGCTAACATGATAAAAACCTCCCAAGTTATTCAATCTTAAGCAGCCGGCAACTGCCAAATCCTTCCTCTTGCTGCTGCTTCCTCTTCCAAAAGACATTGAATTTTGCAAACATGACACCCTGAATGTTAGGGATCGAGTAATTATTGTACCATGCAATGACTCTACTTAATAAGGGCTCTTCCACATCTGTTCTTCATACTCGTTTATTGCTTCTCTGGGGCGCTTACAATCGCACTTTAGGCAGACTGCATTCCTACTGAAATTCATGAAGTCACACCTGCAGAAACGGAAAGCAAAATAGTTCAATAGATCTTTTCCTGAAAGACACAATGATGAGAGCAGCGAAGACTCACGATGGACAGTGCCACTCTCCACCCATTCTTTTGGGGCGATCACAATTGCACTTTAGGCAGACTTTATTCTTAGTGAAATTTAAGAAGTCGCACCTGCAGAAACGGAAACCAGAGAGTTAGATCTTATCCTGTAAAACAAACTCAATCATGAAAGAGCAAGACTCACGATGGGCAGTTCCACTCTCCAGTGTCTCTTTCAGGGCGTGGATCAAGACAACGCAAGCATGTCTTATTGCTAGCAAAATTCATGAACCCACACCTGCAAACAGAAACCAAGTGACATGAACAGAAAAATTTTCAGAAGTACAGACAATAAAATGGAAAAAAAAAATAACGAAATAAAATCCCAGGAAAAGTTGATAACTTTCAAGACAGACAAACAAAGATGATATTAAAGCTGGAACACATCTTCAAAGGTTTTTCTTTTATTTTCCATGCATCCTTTTTATTTACATAACACTTACTGTAGACAAGGGATTTAAATGGTAGTGGTTTGTAGGGAGAATATACCATTTATTAAATTGTTTTTAAATGTATTTGTGCATTCTTTCATAAGATAAATTTTCTTTAACCATCCACTCAAAAAAAAAAAAAAAAAGAAGTTGGTCAGCATTATTAATGACAAAACTATCTATGAAATTATGCTGGTATGTCATAAATCAAGAAGCCTCACAACAGGGAGACAAAAACAATTTCATTGGGGCAGTAATATGCTACCAATATAAAAGACAGACACATATTGTGTTTAAGATAAAAGGTAGAAAGAACTGCCCTGCCACAACATTCACAACCACCTCTTTAAGAGTACCAGGCTTTCATACTTTCAAAAGCATTAAGAAAAATCTCATTAGGGTGAAGAACACAATAATTTCTCCTCGTATGCTAGAATCACAATGTCAATTGTATATATGTACATTGCACTTATCAGTAGGACAAAGAACAAGGCTAACATACTTGGTACAATTCCAATCCCCCCTCTTCATTTCCACATTATCCACGGTGACCCTCTCTGGGCCATCTGCTTTGCACTTTAGGCATTTTATATTTCTAGAAAAATTCAAGAATTCACACCTGCAAAAAGTGGAACATACCAGTTAATGGATTGAACTAGACAAGGGATGTGATACGAGACGCAATAGGTTTACGACACTGTAGAGAAGAGTATGTTAGACCATCATCTGTGACAATAGTAACATTGACTCCCGTACATAAAATGGAGTTTATATGTTATTACGCTACAATTCAAAATAAAAGCATCAATTGGAATTCCTTGGGGGATCAGATATAAACGGAGAGGGTGATTTTCTTAAATGCAGCCAACAGGTAAGAAATGCTAAACATGTAATAACTAGAGGGTTAACTTCATTGGCCTCCTAGCGATTTTTTTCCTTAAATTTGGTTTACCATTGACCTCCCTGCAGTGTAATATAATTACAAATA